CCCCATCTTCCAGTGAATGCCTCGCTGTCTTTGTCCAGGGTTTCTGTTTTGACTGTGATGCATGGGGCCTCCCGTGGCAGAGACGGGAGACCATCGGACTAGACTCAGAGTTTGGTGCCCTCTGCCCTTGAAGAGTCCCCCCCTTCTTCCAAGCTGGGCCCCCAGCTCAGGGCCTCCCCCCCACGGCTGCTGCCACCGAGCATGTACTGCTCTCCCCTCGGCTACGCTGGGTTTCTTAATAAGCGTGGGGGGATACCCCCGACGGGGGTCAACCTCGCCTCGTCGTCGCGCCGCGACGGGGCTCGGAGCGCCTTCGGCGCACAGTGGCCGCCCGGGACGGGGGGTCGATGTGGGGCTGTCGGCGGGGGTGACGCCCCCCCCCCCCCCGACGCTTTTTAAGAGACTCTGAGTATTCGCCCCCATCGACCCCGACGCGTCCCCTCTGAGGGTGGGGGGGATTGGGAGTGGGATCTGTGAGAACCAAGAAGAATAGTGGGATCTGTCAGAACCATCAAGAAACGCGCGCGTCAGAGTCTTCAAGAATGCGTGGCGGCAGCAGAGAGGCTTGCGTTGCCGCGTTCGCAGCAGCCCTTGCAGGGCGGCGCGCTCGGGCGCATGCTGTGACCCTGACCCTGACCGGGCGGGGGGGGGGGGGCATGGCCGGGCGCCCGCCGCCCCTGCGGCCCGCGGGGCTCGGGCCCCTGGCGGTGCTGCTGCCTTTGTCGCTCGCGGTCGTGGCGCAGGCCCCGCCCCGCTGGGCGCTCCCTCTGCGCCCGCCACCCCCTGCCGTGGGTCGCTGCTGTCGTGGTGGTTTCGCGGTGAGGAGGAGGAGGAGGAGGAGGAGGAGGAGGAGGAGGAGGAGGAGGAGGAGGAGGCGGAGGCGGAGGAGGAGGAGGAGGAGGAGGAGGAGGATGAGGAGGAGGAGGAGGAGGAGGAGGAGGAGGAGGAGGCGGAGGAGGAGGAGGAGGAGGAGGAGGAGGAGGAGGAGGAGGAGGAGGCGTGTCGTGGCTGTCGCTCGCGTCGAGCAGTGGCCCAGTGAGGTTGGCCGTTCGGCTGCGTCTGGGCTCTTTTGGTGGGCCAGGTTCACCGTCCCGCGTGCTGGTGAGCTGTTGCCGCTGTCTGCGTTGGCGCTCTGGGGGCTCCCTGCGGCGCTGGGTGCGCCCGCTGGGTTCCCTGCTGGATTTCCTGCTGAGGCGGTTGGTCTACGGTAGTGGCTGGGCTCGGCTGAGCCCGCGCTGCAACTGCCCTGGCTGGCCAGAGAGGACATGAAAGGACGTCGGTGCGTCCGCGTCGTATCTGCGAGGGTCGGCGCCCCCGGGGCCTCCCGGGCCCCCGGGAAACAGTCCCGCGAAGCTCTGAGATGGTTCTCCTCATCACACCCAGCGCTTCTCCTGCCTTTTCTGTGGCTCAGCCAGGCGACCACGTGGGCTCCCGGGCCGTCCGCCTGCCGTCCCAGGGGCAGGCTCCCGGAGCTCCATTTCCAGGTATTTGCTTCCGGCGGATCGTGGCCAGGACGGTGCAGCAGTCGTCGCAGCTCCAGCACCGGGCATCAGCGGTTCGCTCGCTGCCGCCCCTGGGGTCTGCAGGGCGTCGCTCCTCGAAAAAGTCCTGCCGAGCCTCTTCGATCCCGTGGTGTAGATGCCTGGCGCGGTCGACATTGCGTGGGCGATGTCCCTGTCGTGGCGCCTGGAGCGAGGGTCGGGTTCGACCCTCCTGGTTGGGGCCAGCAAGCGTACCTCGCGCTGGGAGAGCTCTGGGGGTGGTGGCGGCGGCAGAGGTTCCAGGTCGGTGAAAACCAGGGGTGGTGCCGCAGGCACTGCGGGCAGAGGGATGCGAGGTTCGTCTGAGATGTCGGGCGGGTTGTGGGCTGGCCAGGTCGCGTCTGCTCGTGGAAAGGGGCGCGGCTGGAACGGGCTGTTCAGTTTCCGCAGGTGGTGGGCGAGCCCCAGACGGTGGCTCAGACAAACATGCAAGTTCATAAACATCTGCATTATCCTTGCGTTTCTTAGGTGCCCCCCGCCGGCGCGCGCGATCACCGACGATAGACTCCTCGACCTTCGTCGCCTCGGCGGCGCGCGCGCGATTCGGGCCGGCGAGGGCGGCGGCGGCACCGGCGCCGCAGGGCTGCTATTCGAGGGGGCCTCTGGCTGTGATGCCATTGGCCACTCCTTCGCGATCAGTGCCGGCAGAGGCGGCGGCGGCGTCGGCGCCGCGTAGCTCCTCGAGGCAGCCGCCGCTGACGGGGTTGTTGGCGGCCGCCCCTTCAAACCCGTCTTTGCCTCCTTCGACCGAGCGTCCTCAGGTTTCTTCGGCTTGCGTTTCTGGTTGCGCCGCCGCGCCTTGGCCGCGGCCGCCGCCAGAGCCGCGGGGGGCGCGAGAATCACGAGCACCCTCGAAGCAGCAGGCGGCTGCGGCATCGCCTCCGGAGCAGCTGCGTAGGGCGCTCTGAGAGCATCTCCTGCACCGCTGGCTGCGCCCGCCATTCTTTACTCGGAACGCTCGCGCCGTTGATTTTCTTGGGAGTCATCGGCGCTGCAGGTGTGGCCATTGATTTTCTTGGGAGTCATCTTGATTTTCTTGGGAGTCATCTTGATTTTCTTGGGAGTCATCGCGCCGTTGATTTTCTTGGGAGTCATCGGGCTGGCCCCCGCAGCAGCCTCCGGAGCCGCGGGGTGGGCAGGCAGTGCCCGCTTGGCCGGCGCCGAGGCCGCGGCAGCCTCCAGGCGGTCCCACCTCTGCAGGCGTTTGGCGCGCTGCACTAGTTGCCTCCGGCTCCAGTGGCAGGGGGGCTGGCGCTGGGCGCCGCTGGTCCCGCCCCATTTCCTTGTCCACCACGTCGAGAGGGCTTCAAATCTCGGGTGGTGGCGCCGTAGGCGGGGCGGCGACGACCTCGATCTCGTCGTTGGAGACCCCGAAGCACTTCGCGAAACCATGAATACGGAGCGAAACGCCCAACTACATGCGCGGCGCGATCACACGCATGTGCCGTGTCAGCAAGCGTAGCCTGTTACCTCCTCTTGCGCGGCGCCATGGGCGTACCGCGTCAAAGCGCAGCAAGGGTTGAGCGGGGGGCGGGCGCAGGAAATCGCCTGAGCCCTAGTCTTGAGGATATGCGTGGGGAAGCATCCAGAGTTGGCGAGAAGGTGTGAACTCGCGCCCGCTACCGTCACCTTTACGCGTCAGCGTGAGAGATGGCGCTGAAGGGTTTTCCCCACGCGGCTTCACGCGATATTCGGGATGGACCACTGCGGCTTGGAAGCCTCCGTTCCCAGGCCCTGGAGGGCCCCCTGGCGCCGAAAGCGCACCGTGTCGTACTGGAGCAAAAGCAGCCTGTGCCCTCGGTCGAAGGCTGGGGTACCCCGCTCGCCCAGCTTGGACTCAACCAACGCAGCTTAGACACAGATGTCGAGGAGAGACGTGCTGCACTGTACTGAGGCGTCGTGCGCAGAAGGACCTTCGTCAGAGTGGCGAATCTGCCATCTTCTAGTATGCTGTGTGTGAATGCTTCTTGCGCGCACGCATTTTGTTTATGAGTATGTATGTATGTATGTATGTATGTATGTATGTATGCATGCATGTAGGTATGTAGGTATGTATGTATGTATGTATGTATGTATGCATGCATGCATGTATGTATGTATGTATGTATGTATGTATGTATGTATGTATGTATGTATGCATATATATGTATATATGAAGTTATGGCTTGATGGACGGATGGACATAAGGGTAGATGGATGGTTGGTTGGTTGGTTGGATGGATGGATGGAAGGATGGATGGATTAATGAGGATGAGGATGATGATGAGGTCGATTGATGATGATGAGGAGGAGGGGGAGGAACGCCTATCTCTTTTCCCTGCTGTGCCACTGTCTGTGATTATTTTGAAGACATCGACGACGACCAGGGGGGAGGAGGAGGAGAAGGAGGAGGAGGAGGATGAGGAGGAAGAGGAGGCGGAGAAAAGGAGTAGGAGTAGGAGTAGGAGTAGGAGTAGGAGGAGGAGGAGGAGGAGGAGGAGGAGGAGGAGGAGGAGGAGGAGCAGGAGCAGGAGGAGGAGGAGGAGGAGGAGGAGGAGGAGGAGGAGAACGGGACAAAGGGAAGGGGCTTCCTTTTGACGCAACGAGGACGTGGATGGAATTCCCTCCAGCGGCGAACCCGTTCCCCGCACGAGGAAGGGTGCTCTCTCTATCGCTCCCTCCCCCCCGACGGAGAGGAGGATGGGAGGGAGGGGACGAAAGAAGGCTTCCCGTCGACGTGACTGGACAGACACCCCACACGCCGGCAGGGTCGGCGGATACCCTTCGTCGTCCCCCGCTTCTCTCCAACTTCCCCCCGTCTCATCGCCTGCTTCTGGTCTCCCCTGTTGGCTATCCCCCCCCGTTCTGTCTCCGCCTCCCCGCCTCCGCCTCCATCCCCATTGCACCACTGGCGTTTTGAGTTTTCGAAGGCCTCCGTGCCGGAGGCCTCGCGTGCCTGCCGTCTTGGGCCCTTTGCCGTGCTGGATCGCGGCAGCTTGGGCAGGTGTCCTGGGCGGTGTCCCGAGGTGCAAGCTGTCGTGCTCGTTTGCTGGTCCCGCCCCGCGACCCACACGAGACCCGCTCCGCGACCCCCCCGCTCTCCGCCCTGCGACCTTCATTCAAGCCGGTCATGTCCCTCTACAGGAGGAATGTTCGGGAATGGTAAAAAGACAGTCAGTTATTCATACATACATTTATATACATGTGTGTATATATACATATATCTATATAAGAATATGTGATTTTTTTTGTTAAATATTGTTCAATGTGCCTTTTTTTCTCCTACTATTTTGTTTGAGCCTACATCGTGATCGGCCTGCAAGGCATCCGCGAAACACCGCTGCCGCTTTCTTGCAGCATCCCACAAGCTGGCGGCCGCGGCGTGCTCGTGGTGTAAAAGATTTCGGCGCTTGGCGGCAGGCTTCTTGAAGGTGCCTCTGGAGCTTCCAGACTGCTGGTGGCCCTCGCCCTGTCTTTCTTCCTCGCCGCTAAGGTCAATGATCCATTACTTGCGCGTGTCATCAGAGCGATGTGTGCGGGTGTCGTTGGAGCCATCCTTGGTGTCGTGAGTAGAGGCACCAAGAGTGGGGATGAACACCGGCAGCTGAGTTCTTGACGTTTCGCGCGAATCTCCATTGGCCTGATCAGAGAGGATGCCCACGAGAGTTGTTTGAATGACCAGGTTGAAGGAGGGGAGGGGGATGCGGAGGACATCGAGGAGCAGGAGGAGGAACATGATCAGGAGGAGGAGGAGGAGGAGGAGGAGGAGGAGGAGGAGGAGGAGGGAGGAGGAGAAAGAGAGAGACGAGGAGGTGGAGAAGGAGGAGGAGGAGGAGGAGGACGAGGAGGAGGAGAAGGAGGATGAGGAAGAGGAGGCGGAAGAGAAGGAGGAGGAGGAGGAGAGGGACAAGGAGGAGGAGGATGAGAAAGAGGAGGAGGAGGAGGGAGGAGGAGGAGGAGGAGGAGGAGAGGAGGAGGAGGAGGAGGAGGAGGAGGAGGAGGAGGAGGAGGAGGAGGAGGAGGAGGAGGAGGCGGAGGAGGAGGAGGAGGAGGAGGAGGAGGAGGAGCGAGGAGGAGGAGGAGGAGGAGGAGGAGTGAGGAGGAGGAGGAGGAGGGAGGAGGAGGAGGCGGAGGAGGAGGACGGAGGAGGAGGAGGAGGAGGAGGAGGAGGAGGAGGAGAGAGGAGGAGGAGGGTGAGGTGGACGAGGAGGATGGGGAGGAAGAGTAGTAGGAGGAGGAGGAGGAGAAGGAGGAGGAGGAGGAGGAACAGGAGGAGGGTGTCGACGGAACAGGAGGAGGACATAGAGAAGGACGATGAGGATGAGAAGAAGGAGGGTAAGCGGGGGAGGAGTAGGAAGAGGAAGAGGAGGAGGAGGAGGAGGAGGAGGAAGAAGAGGAGGCTGAGGACGAGCAGTAGTAGGAGGAGGACGACTACCCTCGGACACCGACGGGGGGGCCTCTTGACGCGCTTTTGGGCTCTTGAGCCGTCTTGGGGTCCTCATTGGCTTTGTTTCGGGCTCGGTAGTGCCATTCCGGGGCCGTCTTGATGCCTCAGAGGCCAATTGGAGGCGAAAATGCGAGAATGCAACGGCCATTGATTCCTTTTTGGTATTAGCACGATTGGGGCCTTCTAGGGGGTTCCCTTGCGTAGCTCCGAGACCGCTTGGAGCCGTCTTGTGGCCGTCTTTGGGCTTTTCGGAGGTATGTCGGAGGCTATCATGAACCATCTCCTGCTATCCTGGGCCATCTTGGAGGCCGTCTTGGTACGTCGCGGCCGTCTTGGAGGCGTCTGGGGCCCCAAAAAGGCAGTCTGATACCTCGCGGCCACCACTAGAAACCCCAAGGGAGGGGGTAGGGGGGGGGTTCAAGCTCCCAGCGAGAACGCTGCAGGTTGCCTCGCTCACTCCCACCCGCCCTCCCACCACCTCAGTGACGCCCGAGTCTCACCATAGGCACGGGCCGCCATTGACAACCATCGGGAACCAATGCACACGCCAGCCAGGTGCGCGAATACCGCGAGGTGTGCCGCACATGCCAGGTGCGCTACGAGCACTCGGTGCACCACACTGGGCAATATGACCAATATGACGACCTCCCCGCCATCCCTCTCGCAAACCATTGCAACGTGACGGCGGGCTTGCGTGCACTGTGTGTGTGTGTGTGTGTGTGTGTGTTTGTGTTTGTGTGTGTGTGTGGTGTGTGTGTGTGTGTGTGTGTGTGTGTGTGTGCGGGTGTGTCTGTGCGGGGTTCACCCGCGATCACTTTGAATTCAATTTCGACAGAGATGGTGAGCCTGCCCACAGCAGTTCATATGCCAGCCCTCCCGCTGACCCTGTCGAAAACCATTGCAATGTGATCGCTGGGCGTCCGCGCATGTTCCAGATTTTGGTACAAAGTGTTTTTTTGCACGTGAGGATTGGGGGATTGTTGGCGTTGCGCACGGCAGGCCAAATGCTGCCCCCCTGCCGTCCCTGCAATAACCATTGCGAAGTGATCGTAGGGCGTCCGCGCATGATTTAGATTTTGATGCAGAGTTCAGTTAGCATTTGTTCTGCAGGGGGTGGTGCGGCTGGGGGGTCGGCATTGGCTGGGTTTTTTCGCCGGTCAGGTGGGGGTTGGGGTGTATATTACTCGAGATCAGTGACAACCCCCTCCCCAAGTAGGGGAAGAAGGGGTATTGCAAGAGAGAATAACCTGTCCGTTGTACCACCTGCGTCCACAGGGCTGGTGAGATTTACAGGATGCAAGTCAGCGTGCAGCAAGCGCGTTGAGCGAGCCGCATTCCGCTAGCTCGTTGCTCGTTGCGCTGCCTGCCATCGCGGGGCACGAGCTCAGGGCAGTGTCCTGCCTCCTCGGCGCCACGGCTGGCTGTGGTTGGCTTCGTGGTGCCCTCCCGTTGTGTTTGCAGAGCCCTCGCCATCATCGCCAAGTCGCTGATGGTCATCGGTCCGTGGCGACTGGTTGCGAAGACGACGCGGCCGCACGGCGCGACGTCGTCTGTGAGCGGTCTCCACGGTGTGCTCATGGTCAGCGGAGGCGGGGACCTCCGCTGCTGGCACTTGACGCCTCTCGACGTGTCACTCTCTGTGCTCCGAGGGAGCACGCGGACAGCAAGCGGGCAGCAATCGGAGGGAGGGGAGGGGGAGGAGGAGGAGGAGAAAGAAGGAGGAGGAGGAGGAGGAAGAGGAGGAGGAGGAGGTTAGCGAGGGTGGAGAGGAGGAGGAAGAGGAGGATATGGAGGAGGAGGGACGAGGACGAGGGCAAAGAGCAGTGTTAGGAGGAGGATGAGGCGTAGGGGCAGGAGGAGGAGGGGCAGAATGAGGAAAGGCTTGGTCGTTCCCCCCCCACGGGCCGCCCGCGCGATCGTCTGCTGCTGCTGGTGCTCTCCCTGTCTCCGTCCAGGTGCCCCTTGCGTGCCAGCGCCTTCTGCTCGAGCTCCTTTACCTCTCCTTCTCGTCGTCTTCGTCGTCGTCGTCATCGGCTGCGTCCTTCTCCTCTCAAAAGGCAGCATCGTCGTTGTCCTTGGCGTCATCGTCCTCCTCTGTGGTCTTCGTCGTCCTGCGCCGCCCTCGGAGGCTGATTCCGACTGGGACGACCTGGCTCCCACCTGGCCCGAGGACAGCCACGGGGAGCAAATATTCGAGAGGGAGAGGGACTGACAGGGCGAGGATAAGGTCGGAGGATGACATATGGGGAGAAGGGACGGAGGGGGGCGAAGGTGAGGACGAGGAGGGTGGATGTCGAGAGAGCGAAGAGAACGAGGGGGAGGCAGTGCCTCCACCTCGAGTGCTTCTGCTGCTCTTTCTCTGCCGATGTTCCCCGCGGACTTTCGTTCAATGCCGCGAAGAGCACCATCTGTTCCAGCAAACTCGTGTATGCAGGTACATCTTTACCCCCTGCCTAGGCCCGCAGTGTCCTATACGCGCCGCGAAATCTCCACGTGACCAGCCAGCATGATCCAGCTTTTCCAATCGTCCTTCTGCTGTGGCACCCAACGATGGCGGCCGTTGCGATTGGTGATGACGATCGATGCGAACGATGGGCAGGAGGAGCAGGAGGAGGAGGAGGAGGAGGAGGAGGAGGAGGAGGAGGAGGAGGAGGAGGAGGAGGAGGAGGAGGAGGAGTGTTTTTATGTTTGAGCCACTGTTCGGTCCCCTAAGGGGGGTCCCTGGGGGGCACGCGTTCGCCCTCCTTCGGGGGGCCGGCGCGCGGCGCGGTGAGGTCGCCCCTCCCCTCGCGGGGGGGGCCGTCCTGGGATGGAGTCGGGCGTGGCCCGCTACAGGGGAACATTCAAAGATAGTAACAAAAAACAGTCTGGGGACGACGATTTTTTGGAAGTCTGTCCATACTTTATTGAATCGCTTCGCTCATGCCGCCGGCCCTGGAGCGCTATTTGGGGCCTCTCGGGGCCGTCTTTGGGGCCTCTTGGGGGCTTCTTGGGAGCGTCTTGGGGCTCCTTGGCGGCGTCTTGGGCTCCCCTGGGGCCTCTTAGGGGGCTCTTGGGGGCCCCTTGGGGCGGGAGGGGGGGTAGTCGATTGCAGCCACCCCCTTGGAGGCCACGATCCTCGTGAGGGGTGGAGAAAAATAGCATCCCCCTGAGGATCGGCCGGGACCCAGCCGGGGGTCAGCCGGGGCACTTTTCGTCCGGGGGCCCCCAGGGGCCGCCCCGCGCGCGCGAACTAGAAATATTGTAAGTAGTTACCGGAGATCTTAGCATGCCTCTGGCCCGTTGGGCCGGCGAATTTTTGGAACATGTTTGGACTACTCTTTCATTTTTCGTCCATAGTCCGCCTCTAGGGGGACATCCCCGACCTAATCCTGGGACGAGGTGCAGGAATCAGGCGATCGCAAACATGGGTCAAGGGGGTGTGGATTAGCGACGGGTCCCGTTTCCATGGGGAGTCTCGGAGTTCCGCCGCCGAACGAGGCGGCACCTGCCGCATCTTGGGGAGGGTACCTCCCCCGATCCATGGATTTGGCGACCGCGCGCCAAATCCGTGGATCGCTAACCCATGTTTGCACGCCCCCGAGAGGTGAAGGAGACGGCTCGTGGGCCCGCGGCCCTCTGGCCCTTCGTGGCGCTCGCTCGGCGGTTCGCTCGTCCGTCGCCCGTGCGCCTCCTTCCCCGGGCTCCCTGGGCAGCAGGATCGCATTACTTTCGGAGGTTGACACGTCGATTAGCGAATTGGCCGTTTTCGCTCCGCGGGAGGGCGTCGCGGCCGTCATTTTTGCGGGTCCAGGTCCGTCGGTTTCGGTCCTAGGCCGTTTTCACTGAAGGGTGGTTTACTAAACGGAGGTTTGTCCACCGCCGAGGGGGTTGTTCTGCGTTGTCCGTCGTGTCGTTGCTGTTCCAGGGTGCCGCCAGTTCCGTCCTTCGGCCGTGGTGCTTGTGGCGGCGAGGCGGCTGGTTGCGGCCGCGGCGGATGCGGCGTTGGTGGATTCGATCGCTGGCGGCGGGGAGGATTGAGGAGGGAGGAGGGAGGGGAAGGAGGGACGAGGATGAGGAATGATGGAAGAGGATGGCTGGAAGCATGGAAGGATGGAAGGACGGACGGTTGGAAGGATGCAAGGATTGATGGGAGGATGGAAGGATGGTTCAATGGATGGATGGATGAGTTGATGGATGGCTGGATGGATGGGTGAATGGATGTATGATGGTGTTGATGATGATGAGGATGATGCTGATAATGATAATGATGCTGATGACGACGAGAATGATGATGCTGTTCATGATGATGATGATGATGATGATGATGATGATGATGAGGATGATGACGAGGATGACGATGAGGGTCATGATGATGACGGACGATGTTGATGATGGCGACGATGTTGATGATGCCGATGTTGCTGATGATGTTGAGGATGATGGCAATGATGATGACTATGAGGATGATGCTGATGATGATGGTGGTGATGATGCTGCTGATGAGGATCAGGATGACGATGATTCTGACGATGATGTTGATGATGCTGATGATTCTGACGATGATGCTGATAATGGCAATGATGACGATTATACTGATTATGGCAATGATGATGCTGATGATGCTTATGATGATGATGATGATGATGATGATGATGATGATGATGATGATGATGATGATGCCGATGATGATGCTGATGATGATGATGTTGATGATGCTGATTTCAGAAGATGATAATGATGATGATGATGATGATGATGATGATGATGATGATGATGATGATGATGATGATGATGATGATGATGATGATGATGATGATGATGTTGATGAAGGTGACGATGACAATGACGATGACGACGGCGGCGGCGGCGACGACGCCGACGCCGCCGACGCCGACGCCGACGCCGACGCCGACGCCGACGACGACGACGACGATGACGATGATGTTGATGTTGATGATGATGATGATGATGATGACGACGATGATGATGGTACTGATGAGGATGATGATGCTGGTTTAATAAGATGATACTGATGATGCTGCTGTTGCTGATGATCATGAACACGATGATCTTGATGATGATGCTGATACTGATGATGATGATGCTTATGAGGATGATGCTGATGCTGCTGCTGCTGATGCTGATGCTGATGCTGATGATGCTGATGCTTATGATGATGGTGATGATGATGATGGATGATGATGCCGATGACGATGCTGATGCCGATGACGATGCTGATGCTGATGATGGCGATGCTGATGATGCTGATGATGATGGTCGTGGTGGTGGTGGTGATGATGCTGATGATGAGGATGATGATTATGATGATGATGATGATGATGCTGATGATGATGATGAAGATGATGATGATGAAGATGATCATGATGAAGATGATGATGATGATGATGATGATGATGATGATGATGATGATGATGATGATGATGATGATGATGATGATGATGATGATGATGATGATGATGATGATGATGATGATGATGATGATGATGATGATGATGATGATGATGATGATGGTGGTGGTGGTGGTGGTGGTGGTGGTGATGATGATGATGATGATGATGATGATGATGATGATGATGATGATGAGGGTGGTGGTGGTGGTACTGACGATGCCATAGACCAAACTTATGCGGCAGGGCGCAACGTAGGATGATATGGACGAGGAGGAGAAGGAGGAAAGGGATGATGCGAACGAGAGGAGGAGGCGGAGGAGGAGGAGGAGGCAGTGGGACGAGGAGGCGGTGGAGGCGGAGGAGGAGGAGGAGGAGGGGTTAGGAGAAGCAGGAGGAGGAGGAGGGGGAGTAGAAAAGAGGAGGACAAGCTAAGTGCGCAAGCGTCATATCTTGCGTCCTACCCTTCCCTGCCATATCGTACCAGGGCGTAGATCTCCTCTCTCTCTCTCTCTCTCCGCACAGTCGGATGTCGAACAGGGTAATGATCCCGAGAGGGTACCCGATACATGGTATAGGTGGCCGTAACATTGAATAGAAGAGCACGACCACAGCCGACGTCGTCGCGTCGAGAACGCGACCCATTTCGACAACAAGGTCAGAGGGGCACCAGACAGTACATATCACGAGGAATGCAAATGGACGTCTTGGGAAGCGGGCAGCGCAACATGAGATCAGCGCTGCACTGGGAACACGGTTTGGAAGGTCTGGAAGCGCTGAACCTAAGCCAACGCCGCAGCAGGAGCGCGAGTTGGAAGAACCGAAACAATGAAAAGAAATCAGCGCTGCAGTGGGTACATGATTTGGAAGGGCTGCGAACGGGAACGTGGAGCCAACGCTGTAGCGGGAACGCCATTCTGAAAGGATCGAAAACGTTCGGATTGGAAAACCACATACTAATTCACAATTCGGCGGCATCCGTTGTGTAAAGTTGTCTTGGCGAAGGACCCAGCCATAATCCATGTGTGAGTGCTGCAGCTGTGTCTACCGTCTTTGGCGGAGCTCCCCATTTGGCCACGAGACGTGCTAGGGGTGCGCCGCATCGGGTGCTGGACCGCCATGCTGACCCTGCTTCCAGTGGGGTCACGAAACGTGTGGGGGGTGTGCCGATTCGGGTGCGGGGCGGCCGTGCGGAACCTGCCACTGGGGCCTCCGGTGGAGCTCCACATGGGTCCACGAGACGTGTAAGGGGTGTGCCGAACCAAGCGCGTGGCCGCCATGCGGACCCTGCCGCGGGGACCTTTGATCGAGCTCCCTTTGGGGCCACGCAACGTGTGAGGGGTGTGCCGAACCAAGGGCTGCCATGCGGACGCTGCTGCGGGGGCCTCCGGTGGAGCTCGTTGTGGGGCCACGAAGAGTGAGAGGGGTGTGCCGATTCGGGTGCGGGGCGGCCGTGCGGAACCTGCCGCTGGGGTCTTCGGTGGAGCTCCGTATGGGGCCACGAAACGTGGGAGGGGTGTGCCGACAATAGACATTTGGAGGGAGAGGCAAGGGTGGGAGGAGGGAGGGGGGGGAGGAGGAAGGAGTGAGGGACGCGGGGCGAAGTCTCCTCAGAACAAGGACCCCACACCACAGGATGGTTGGGAACAATACGCGGAGGAGGCCAGGACACCTCACCGGCGCCTTCGGGGCAGAGAGGAAAACATCATTCATATTGTGTAGTTGTGGAGGGGGATGAACTGGAGCGGCGGGCGCGCCGCCCCGACGGCAGGCCCAAGAGAAGAGGAGGACGGGGGATGGGCACCTGTCCCCGCGCGGCCCAGGACTGGTCGATGCTGCACCGCGTGGTCGCTGCCTCTAGCCGCCCGCGTCGAAGATGCCCCTGCCGCACTCCTCCTCGTCCTCCTCCTCCGCCTCCTCCTCCTCCTCCTCCTACCCTCCCTCCTCCTTCTCCTCCCCCCTCCTCTTCCGCCTTCCCCCTCCTCTTCCGCTCCTCCTCCTCGTCCGCGTCCTCCTCCTCCTTCTCACTCCTCCTCCTCCTCCTCCTCCTCCTCCTCCTCCTCCTCCTCCTCCCCCTCCTCCCCCTCCTCCTCCTCCTCCTCCTCCTCCTCCTCCTCCTCCTCCTCCTCCGCACCCTTGAGTATCCCGCTGCCCGCGAAGAGTTCCGCAGCCTTGCCAGCGCCGCACTCTGTGTGTGCCGACGTTGCGAGCATCGCCCAGAGGGCCACGACGTGCGACGAAGCAGCTCCCGTCTCTGTGTCGTGAGGGCCTCTCGTGAGGCCAGCCTGGGCTGTCGTGGGGCTGTCTTGGGTTCCCGTGGGGCCGCTCTGGGGCTTTGGGTCAGGTCGGACATGTCCTTCTACAGGAGGAATATGCAAAAGTAGTTTGAAAATTGCCTGGGGACGATTTTTGACCAGTTTTGACTATTTTTGATGATTGTTTTTTTGACTATTTTTTCTTTCCGTCTAAAATCCGCCTGTAGGGGACATGCCCGACCTAAGCCTAGGGTTCCGTTACCTGTCTTTCTGCCACCTCTGGGCTGGGGTTCCTCGGCCGAGTCGGGCATGTCTTGGGGCTGTCTTGTTGGGCTCTTGCTTGGAGCACTGGCCAGAATGTGCCGTTAGATGTGACACCTCCGCTCTCCTCTCAGTTCTTTGAGAGGTGCTCCCGTGGGGCGTAATTCCTGGGGCCGTTTTTGGGCCGTCTTAGGCTTTTTGTGGGGTCGTCGCGGGGCGCTCCTGAGTTGCTTCAGGGCCATCCTGGTGCACTCTTGAGCCGTCTTGGTGCTGTCTTGGGCTGTCTCGGCGGTCTTGGGAGTGTCTTCGGGCCCCCTGGTGAGATCCTCGGGGCCTCTGCCAGTCGTCCGCTGCAGACCGTGGTCGGACCTTACGGCCGGACTCGGTCCACGAGGCCGCTGTTGTTCGGATGTGCGCCCGCGCACTCGGAGCTCGGGAGCGGCCGAGACAGGGGTGATGATTTGATGCCCCTCTTCTTGTTTCAATACGTTCCCTGGCCCCCCCTGGTCCGCGCACATGCCTTATGCCATGATTTGCACGCCCCCTCTTGGATGCCCCCCCTCCTTGACGTCCCCGAAAGAGCTCTCCCCGATCGGTCCATCACGGGCTCGGGCCCGCGTTGCCGTGGCTCGCGCAGAGCAGGAGGCTTTCTGTGCGTTCTCCCAGCGGTGAAGGGCAAGAGTTTGGGTCCGCCAGGGGCCAGCATCTGCACTGCTGCGAGCCACGGCGGCGCCCTCGGAGCATCATCAGCTGCGCTCTGAGTCCTGGGGAGCCGCGCGCGGATGGGTCGCAGCGCCGGCGAGCTGCTCAAGGCCAGCGGCCTAGCACGTGAGGTCTCCCGTGCCTCACCACCCGGCGGCCTTGAAAGCCTGTGCCCTTCCTGCCCCTTCTGCCTGCAGGTCTCTCTCAAGCTGTACAGTGGAAGCCCATGCCAAGAAATACCCTGGTTGCCGCCAGTGTGCCCTGTGCTTCTTGGGTTTCGATGGCTTTGCTATGTAAAGCGTGACGTTCCCACACCAGAAAACCAATGACCGTCCTGGGGTCTCAGGGTTGGGCTTCTGGTGGAAGGTCTGTTGTGGTCTCGCTCCTACTGCAGGTGCTCGTGCTGACCAGACGCTCGAGCGGTGAAAGTTCGGGCGTGGTCTTACTCCGCTGATCAGAGGGAGGAGGAGGAGGGGGAGGAGGAGGATGGGGATGAGGAGGAGGAGGAGGAGGAGGAGGAGGAGGGGAAGGAGGGGGGGAAGGAAGAGGAGGAGGAGGAGGAGGCGGAGGAGGAGGAGGAGGAGGAGGAGGACGCGGAGGAGGCGGAGGAGGAGGGGAGGAGGAGGAGGAGGAGGAGGAGGAGGAGGAGGAGGAGGAGGAGGAGGAGGAGGAGGAGAGGAGGAGGGGGCCAGTCCGTGTGGCGGCGCCGTGCCATACTCGGCACACTGGTCAGCAGGTCCTACGTCAGAACGGCGGTCGGTATCTCAGCCGGCTATCTGAGTGAAAGTCTGGCCAGACGCAGGCGGGCATCTGAACCACCACCTGCGGTGTCAATCGCGGTCCACGCGCCCCACAAGCCACCTGCTCAAAGGCCCTTTGGCCCCGAGCACGTTTCGACGCAGGGCTCGCAGGCCGTGCCAGCCGCCCGCAGCCCGGGTGGGGGCACACGGTGTACGGGTAGAGGGCCACCCCCAGTGGTGCACGCAGCCACATGGTGTCGGGCTCCTCGCCAGCCCGAGGAGTTTGCTGCTCGACGGCAGACACCGTTCCCGTGCGTATCTCTGAGGCGCCCTGCGCAACGCCATGGCGTGGGTCGACTTCTTCAGGATACTTCCGAATCTCAGTCGAGGACGTCCACCAGGCGAGGGTGGCGTTGGCAGGACTCCCCTTGGTCACGACCAAGGGGTGTTCGGTCTACGCGATATGCGGGACCTGTCCTTCGAGCGAGGGCGGGCGCCGAGTGGTTTGGAACCAAGCATCCCGACGTACTGGCTCAAGCACTGGGCTGGCGATCGTTGTCTTACTCATTGTTTTGCCGACTGGCGCGGGCCGTCGTACCCCCCTCCCCCTCCACTCCCTATGGGGTAGGTCTCGGCTGTTTTTGGCGCCTGTCTCGAGCGGGTGGAGTCTCCCCCCCTAGGACGCCTCGTTTCAAGCAGTCGCATTAAGCAGAGGCCTGGAGCCAGACCCCCCCCTCCCCTCCCCTCCCGCCCAATGTCGAAACGCCGAACGGGAACACGCTCACTCACAGATTCGCTCGAGCGGGCTTCGCTCCGATTTCCTTCTCGGCCCAGTAGGCGGTCGATCCGCGACGGGCCGATTCCGCACCAGGACCGTCGAATACAGTGGAGGCCCATGCCAAGAAACATCCTGCTTACCTCCAGGGTGCGTTGGGTTTCTTGGGTTTCGATGGTTTTGCCATGGAAAGCGTGGCGCTCCCACACCAATAATCAATGCACGTCCTGGGGTCTCAGGCTTTGGTTTCTTGTGGAAGGTTTCTTGTGGAAGGGCCCCTACTGTATCCTGCACCAGGATCGTCGAATGGCCCACCCCAGATTTCCTGCCTCCTGCATCGTGTTCTGGAGGCCGTGTCGCCAGGGCCCACACCCTGGAGTGGCGATGTGCGACGCGACCCGCCTGCTCGAGTGCCGCTGGCCCTTGGGCTTGCGCTTTGCTCCCTCGGCTGACGCCTCCAGTGACCCGACTCGCTCCATCGGCACCACGGATCCTCGCATCGACCTGCGACCGCCATCAAGCGCCTCCCTTGCGGGCCGATCAACGGTGGGATATCGGACACCCCTTCTGGGGTTCACCTGGCTGCAGACATCCTTCAATCGGAATCTGGAGCGTATACATTGCCAGTGGCGGGCTGTTCTTCAATCTTGTGCCTTTTGGGTCAGGGACGACGCCGGCGTGGTGTGGTGCATACCTGTTCCTGCTTCCCGGGGAGACATCGAAAAATGTACGCGTCAGGGTCCTGTCGGCACGAGCGAAATTGGTACGGAAAGAATGGGTACAATGTCCAACAGCAGTTCCTGTTCATTTTGAACAGGACTCGCTCTGTCCGCGCCGCCGCGGCCTGTGCCCATTTGAGACAGAAGGCCGCCTACCCAACAGCGGCCGCTGTCGGTTTGGGACAACATTTGTTCTTGGGCATTGTGCCCATTGTTTTCGTACCCATTTCGGGCGTCCACATCCTGTGTGCACCAGGATCCGCTTTCCCGTGCAAGTGTCCGTGCAGGGCCGGAACACGCGTCGGTGCACAGCGGCTATTTCCCTTGTGCAGATCCCGAGGCCCCGGGTGGGGCACGCCGCCGAGAATGGTTCTGGTGCCGGCCTTCCGGGCCTCTGACCCCCGCCGCGCCCCTCCCCTTCGCACCGAGTGAGGCTGCCGTGCCCCGATCGTTTCGCGCGGCGCTCCCTCGGGAAGAGCGCTGGGCTTTTAAGTCGGGCGTGTCCCTCTACAGGAGGAATCTCTAATTATCCCGGTGCGACTCTACCTAAGAGTTGGAGCCTCCAGGAAAGCAACATTAGTAGGAGCGGTAAACTACGTCCTCCTCCTTCTCCTCATCGTCGTAGTTGTAGCAGTAGCAGTAGCAGTAGTAGTAGTAGTAGTAGTAGTAGTAGTAGTAGTAGTAGTAGTAGTAGTAGTAGTAGCGCCAGAACCGCCGACGCCACGCCGTAAGTGAAGCAGCAGCAGAAGCAGGCAGCAAGTCGCCGAGACAGCAGCAAAAGCAAGCAGGCACGGAGATGAGGGCGGGACACTGGTAAGTTCTTTACATGCTATGCTATGCTTTTGCTATGCTATGCTATGCTATGCTATGCTGCGCTATGCTATGCTATGCTATGCTGCGCTATGCTATGTTGCGCTATGCTATGCTATGCTATGCTATGCCATGCTATGCTTTTGCTTTGCCTTTGCTTTTGCCTTCACTTTTGCCTTTGCTTTTGCTTTTGCTTGGCACCCCGGGAGCGCAACTGGGGGAACCGCGCGTTTGCTTTTACCTTTGCTGTTGCTTTTGCTTGGCTCCCAGGGGACTGGGGGAACCGCCCGGGGCGGTTTGCACTGCCCGGCCCCTTTAAGCCAAGCGAGTAAGAACCCTTCTAGGCAGAGCCTAGGTAGGGAAAAAGAGGACAACAAATTTGTCTGGGGACGATTTAGTCCGAGTATTTCTGGAGCATGTGAAAGCATTTTTTGATGATATTTGAAATTTCCTCTAACATCCGCCTGTAGGAGGGCATGCCCGACCTGACACTGGGCGTTTTTCTTTCCTGCGCCCGCTCGCCCGCCGCCTCCGGTCGGCGGCGAGCGAGGGGGGGATGAGAAGGGGCGCGCTTTGTCCGAAGGCTCAGAATGAAGTCCTCCCCGCCCTCGCGAGAAGTTTTCTGAGCCTTCCCCGAAGACGCGGCAAGCTTCTCAGGAGGCGCGAGAGAGTTTCTGAGAAGCCCCGCCGCCTTCCGAGAAGGGCCTCCTCCTTCTCATTTCTCCCCCCGCTCGCCGCCACTCCGGGCCCGACCGGCCACGGATGGCAGCAGCAGTGCTCCTGCCCTCCTGTCCAATCATTGCCCCGTCTTGCCCACCTCTCAGGTCCCGACTGTCGCCCCGGCCTTGTCCCCACCCCCCTGCGACTACAAGGGGTGTGGTTATGTACGCCTGGGTGTGGTTTGCGATCGGCGCCGTCGCGGCCTGGGTGGCACGACGCTATTCTCGGCTCGACCGCCATCCAGGGTGCCCACCAAAGGTGCTGGTCGCTAACCACAAAACCACACCCTTCGGAGTCGCCGACTGCTGCCCTCTCAGGCCATGATCGTCTCCCTGGCCGTGTTCCCACGCCTCCAACTGTCCCATCTCAGGACGTAACTCCCAGGAGGTTCAATGCAGCATCGGAGCTGGTTTGACCGTGGTTGGGAAACTGGCCCAACCTGGCATGACTCCGCTTCATTCTTTTGAAGTTGGTTTCACCAGCCGAAATCCTGGGCTCGATTTGGGCTGGTCGGGTTTAATGGCTTCCAGGTCCGGCTTCGGCTTCATGGCTTTGACCGCTCCCACGAAGACCTCGCAGGAGCTGCCTCCCACACGGCTCCCCATCCCCAAACTGTGCACCACCAGCACCTCCCTCACTTCCGCCCCTTCTCAGGAGAAGAGTTAAGGGATGATGATGATGATGATGATGATGATGATGATGATGATGATGATGATGATGATGATGATGATGATGATGATGATGATCATGATGATGGTGGTGGTGGTGGTGATGATGATGATGATGATGATGATGATGATGATGATGATGATGATGATGATGATGATGCTGATGAGATGATGCTGTGATGATGATGCTGATGATGCTGATGCTGAATGCTGATAGCTGTGATGATGATGATGATGATGATGATGATGATGATGATGATGATGATGATGATGAGGAGGAGGAGGAGGAGGAGGAGGAGGAGGAGGAGGAGGAGGAGGAGGAGGAGGAGGGGGAGGATGGCAGGGGAGGGCGGAGCCTCCGAGGAGCTGCTCTCGAGCACCCGCCGTCCCCCCCTTCTCCCCTCAGGGGCAACGATGGGGGGGGAAGGGCACAGGGGGGGATACATCGACCCCGAACGGTTGACACATTCTCGATCCGCATCGGCGATGCATCGTCGAGATCCGGGCGATGTATCGAGGATGCACAGACGATGCCTGGGCCGGTGTGCATCGACGATGATGGGCGATGTATCGGACTCTCGAGTTCGATGCATTCACCCATGTGTCTATCCCCCCCTGTCGTTGCCCCTCATCCTCCCCGCCGAAAACCGCTGGAGACCACTAACGACCGCCCGAAGAGCGCCTAAGTCCGCCAAAGACGGCCCAGGGGCGACGGGTAACGACGGGTCCATTGCCGAACGCGTACCACCCTCTTCCTATCCCCTCCCGTGCCTGTCCCCGCTGTGCCTATCCACCCTGTGCGTGTCCCCCCTGTGCCTATCCCCCTCCCTTGCACCACCACCCTCCTCCTGTATCCCCCCCCTATCGTTGCTTCTCACTCCCCCTCCCTCCACGGCCCGCCGAGCACTCGCCGGGCCGCTCCAGGTCTCCTGCCCCTGGGCCCACGGATCCCCTTGCCCGCCAGAGGGAGGGCCGGCCAGCATCCGCCAGGGGCGCCTTCGCGAAAATACTGCTGGCGGCGGGGGCGCCCAGGGGTGGACAGCCCAGGGGCGGGCAGTGCACGGGTTCGCCAGCGAGCCTCGTCGAAGAAGCTCGCGCTCGGAGCCCCTGGGTTCGCGGCGGGATCGGGCCACCCTGAACCCCACAACGATGCCATCTCTTGGGAGGCCCATTTTTGCTTCCCCCGGCTTCCGCCGGCCTGCCGCCAGCGCAGCCGCCCTCGTCTTGCGTCCGCGGGCCTCCGCTGCCCTTGGCCGCCCTCCGCCGAGGAGGAGACGGCAACTCCCTGGACACTCGGTGGCGAGGTGCCTTCTGGAACGCCTCGCAGGCAGTGGCTGCATGTGAGGCGTTCCAGAGAGAGCCTCGCCTTCGAGGATCAAGTCTAGGCCTCCTGGGTGGGGTCGGAGGAGATGGGGTCGGAGGGTCGCCATGCGGCTCGATGCGGCGCCCGATCTGCTTCACGCGGACGTCGCCGATGCGTCGCCGACATCGCCCATGCATCGCTGGTGCATCGCTGGTGCATCGCCGATGCATCGCCGATGCGGCGCGACCCTCCGACCCCATCTGCTCCAACCCCATCTGGGAGGCCTCTACCAAAGGAGGAGGAGAAGCAGGAGGAGGAAGAGGAGGAAGAGGAGGATGAGGAGGTGGAGGAGGAGGAGGAGGAGGAGGAGATGGGGGAGGAGGAGGAGCGAGGAGGAGGAGGAGGAGGGAGGAGGAGGAGGAGGAGGAGGAGGGGAGGAGGAGAGGAGGAGGAGGAGGAGGAGGAGGAGGAGGAGGAGGAGGAGGAGGAGGAGGAAGGAGAGGAGGAGTAGGAGGAGAGGAGGGAGGAGGGAGTAGTAGGAGGAGAGGAGGAGCAGAGAGGAGGAGGAGGAGGAGGAGGAGGAGGAGGAGGAGGAGGAGGAGGAGGAGGAGGAGGAGGAGGAGGAGGAGGAGGAGGAGGAGGAGGAGGAGGAGGAGGAGGAGGAGGAGGAGGAGAGTGAGGAGGGAGGAGGAGGAGGAGGAGGAGGAGGAGGAGGAGGAGGAGGGAAGCGAGAGAGGAGGAGTGAGGAGGAGGAGGAGGAGGAGGAGGAGAGGACGGAGGAGGAGGAGGAGGAGGAGGAGGAGAGTTGACAATCCCTGCTCTTCAGGTCCTGGTTGCCTCCCTGGCCGTGTTCTCCGTCTGCGTGTGGTGCGTGGCGTGCTGCATGTTCTGCCACCGCGTCTGCAGCCCCGCGGCGCGCCGCCCGAGCTCCGCGGCCGGGCCGGCTCTACCTCCTCCCACTCCTACCTACCTACCTCCTCCTACATCCTCCTCCTCCTCCTCCTCCTCCTCCTCTTCGTCCTCATCCTCCTCATATCTACGTACGTTCCTACCTACCTACCTACCTGCCCACCTACCGACCGACCTACCTACCTACCTACCTATCTACCTACCTATATATCTATGTGTATATATCTTCATGTCTATCGATATATGTATATTTATATATGTATATGTTTACACACATATATCTGTGCATCTATGTTTCTTGCTATCTCTGCATATATATCCTAGCTGCTTATACACATATAGAATTATGTATATATGTGTGTATATCTCTTTACACACATACACCTGTCTATATTTGGGAAATGTTGCATATTTGTGTTTATACATGTATATTTATATGTCTGCTATCTATAGGTATGTATATATATATATCTACCGGTAATATACATATATATATATATATGTTCTGGTGTAGGCACACACATGTATCTACCGATCTTTTTATCAATCTATCTGTCTATATATATATATATATCTAGATAGCTCTCTCTCTCTATATTATCTACCTATCTACCGAACATGTTCATATTTATACACATCGATATCTCTCTCTACATGTATATCTACCGACATATCCATACACACATATACATATACACATATCAAATTACAGTTAGCTACATATACATATCCATATAGATATGTATACCTATCGCTATATCTATATATTTACATGACTATACATTTATCTATGTATCTACCTATACATATATGTATACCCAGCTATCTACCTACCTATCCATGTATCTATGTATGTATCTATCTATCTATCTATATCTATCTATCTATCTATCTATCTATCTATCTATCTATCTATCTACCTATCTATCTATCTATATATACATCTATATCTCTCTATATATATATAGATATAACTATCTATATAGCTATCAGTCTATACATACATATATATATATATATATATATAGCTATATCCATCCATCCATCCGTCTTTCTATCCATCCATCTATATATCTATCTACACCTATATCTATATACATTTATACATATACATAGATCTACCTCCTACCTCTTCCTACCTCCTCCTCCTCCTCCTCCCTCTCCTCGTGCTCCTCCTCCTCCTCCTCTTCCTCCTCCTCCTCGTCCCTCCATGCTCCTTTGCACTCCTCCCCCTCCACCCCCTCCTCCTGCTCCTACTCCTGCAGTGGAGGGAGGGAGGGA